TGGTTGTTTTTTTGTTGTTATTGTTGTTTGTTTTTAATTTCTTTTTTAAAAAATGTTATCAATATACAATGTAGTTGATTTTTATGTCCCTTTACTGATTTCTTCCTCCACCCTCCTTCTCCCCCCTCCCACCCATCAACATCATATCTGTTCACTTATCTTAACAAGTTCAAGGAATTGTGATTGCTGTGTCTTCTTCCCTGACCCCACTGTTTTTTTGTGCATTTATTTATTTATGTTTATCTCCCACAAATAAGTGAGAACATGTGGTATTTCTCTTTCTGTGCCTGACTTATTTCCCTTCATGTAATTTTCTCTAAGTCTATCCATGTTGCTGCCAATAGTAGTATTTCATTCTTTTTTATAGCAGAGTAGAATTCCATTGTGTAGATATACCACATTTTCCATATCCACTCATCTGTTGTCTTATCCATTCATCTGATGATGGACATTTGGGCTGGTTCCAAGTCTTTGCTATTGTAAATAGTGCTGCAATCAACATTGGAGTATAGGTATCCCTTCGACATGATGATTTGTCTTGGCTATTGTAAATAGTGCTGCAATCAACATTGGAGTATAGGTATCCCTTCGACATGATGATTTCCCAACCTCGCAATATACTGAGACCATATTACTTTAGGTCACCAAGATGTATGCCACACAGTCTGTGGAAGAGCTGGGACTTGAACTCACATTTTCAGCCACCATGGCCAGTGTTCTTGCCCCGAAACAAGTCAGGAAAAGGAAGGGTAATGGTTTGGACTTGGAGCTGTAGGTTCTTAATTAACCCTCCCACCTTTATCCTTAGAGGCACTTCTTTTATGATGAAAGCATCCCATGAGTAGGCATGGACCTGGGTCGGCCAGTGGCACAAGGGGCATGGCAGTGTACAGACAGCACTAGAGGAGGAGTCAGGAAGGCTGGCGTTTGTGCTCTGAACTTATTGGCAGTGGGTCCTTGTGCAAGTCGCTTTCCCTCCTGGGCCTTGGTTTCTCCACTCATAAAATGAGGATTCAGAGTTAGGTGATGGCTCAGGAGTTTTGGTTCAGATTATCAGTGAGCCTCAGTCTGCCTCAGAGAGAACATGACAGAACTCAGCAGAGAGTGGCTGACACTCTCCTGATCCCCTGAGAAACACAGAGGTCTGGCTGTATCCACCTACCCCTCGTCTGTCTGTCTTTGTTTCTCTCTGTCTCTCCCTCTTTCACTTTCTGCTCTATGGGTTTGTGTGTGGCGTGTACATGTGTCTGTTTCTCAGTCTCTCACTCTCCCTCTCTCCTTCTTCTCCACATCAGGGATCACCACTTTCTCCCCCTACTAAGAGCCCCTTCAGGCTCTGCCTGGTCCCCTAACAGCTTTCAGATGTGTCTCTGGAACAGTTCTACAATTACAGCTGAGACAGGCAGAAAGCACATGCCCTTGTGACTTTTGACCTAGGCCTGTGAAGCTGACATCTTCCTCTTTCCTCACACTCCCCAGCAGGGTGGCCTGAGGCCTTCTGCATCCTGAAGCCTCCACTGACATGTTTGCTTACTGCAATAACAAAAACAGAAGCTACCTTTTAGGGAGCAAAGATGGAACCAGGCCTATGATCATTATATCATGGAGTCTTGATTCCCAACTTGTGAGATATGGAGAATTTCACCCTATTTTACAGGTGAGGAGGCTGAGGCTCAGAGAAGGGAAACTGACTTCTCAAAGAATACACAACCAGAAATTGGAGAAAGCAAGAATTTTACCCAGGCTTTATAACTTGAAAACCTAAGACTACTTCTTCCCCTGCATGCTGTTATTCATGCTGCTTGGCTAAGCAGAGAGGCGACCCTAGGCCCTCTTGGTGGGGGAAATGTATTGCAGAAGGACCACAGAAACATAAATGGCCTGTGGAAAGTGGTGTTAAAAAACATTCCAGCTCCTCATGTTTTGAGATTTCATTTACATATTCCATTCACTACAAGCTTTCCACATTCCCCCAGTCAAAATGCATCTCCTTCTCCTCAAGAAACATAAATGGCCTGTGGAAAGTGGTGTTAAAAAACATTCCAGCTCCTCATGTTTTGAGATTTCATTCACATATTCCATTCACTACAAGCTTTCCACATTCCCCCAGTCAAAATGCATCTCCTTCTCCTCTAACCCCAAGGAAGCATTGTTAAAAATGTGTACTTTTGAACAAATAAGTGTTCTATATATTGTCTTTACAAAAATCTTCTACTTACAAGTTGCTGTCTCACACATCACTCCATGTAACCCTTGAAACAGCCATGCACTGTCTGTAAAATTATCCCCATTTTATTTGTAGAGAAACTGAAATTGAGAAATGAGATATGGTATGCGCAGGTTCATTCATTTACACAAACATTTATGCAGTGCCTACCATGTGCCTAGTACCATGACAGTGTTGTAGCTTGTAGCTATAACCAAGCTGAAGTATACACCCTCTGGGACCTCCAGGTTGTGGTTTGGATCCTGCCTCTGCCACTTCCTAGATGGGTTGGTGTGTGGATGATAAGTGTCTGCACAGTGTTACCCAAAACTGTTCTTACCTGCCCACTTTGCCACTTGTTTACGTTCACATCCGGAGGTTTTGTGTGTGTGATCTTATTCCCAATCCTTTCACATGGCTTTCCAATGATAACTCACCTCATAGAGTGCTTACATTTTACATCCATCCTCACTGAACCTGTGAGGTGGGTGGTGGTCTTCCTATCACAGGTACCCAGTGCAGAGAGATGAAGGGAGCTCAGAGAGGTGAAGTGACTTGCTCAAGGTCATAGAGCAAAGTAGTAGGATTAGAATGTGAACCCATGTCAGGCCATCTCCAAGACCAAGCTCTGTCACCGCCTGCTTCCCTGGTACCAAGAAGTTTTGATTCTTGATAACTTTTGTAAAAACAACCTTTGAGGAATCAAGTCATGGGCTATTAAAGCTGGAAGGGACCATGTAGATTACCAAGTTCAGGCCTTAGTAAACCAGTGAGTGGTAGAGCTGGACCAGCACAATGGCAGCTGAGAGCAAAGAGTATGGGTTTTAGAGTAATATAAACCATAGTCTTGGTTCTTTTGTTTTCTGAATCTGTGACTTCAGACACATTGCTTAATTTTTTTTGTCTTCGGTTCCCTCTTCTAAAAGACGAAGACAATAAGGGTGATTATTTTAGCATGTTTCCTTAAAATTAGAGAAACATATGAAATGGCACTGCCTCAACATATTTGGGGGTCAGCAAGTGCAGCTGATGGAATTATATCTCTACACAGTTGATATGCACAGACGTGTTGCCAGAAGGCAATAGCTGACAGTGGTTAAGTGCATGGGCTTTGGCGTCAGGCAAACCTAGTCTTAAATGGCCAGTCCCACTAATTACTATGTGGTTCTGGGCAAGCTGCATCCCATCTCTGAGAAACATATATAAAATAATTAGAGTAATAATACCTATCTCTTAGGACTGATTGGAGGAATTAATTGCAATAATGTGGGTAAAACTGGTCAGCTCAGTGCTTGACACATATTAAGATCTTAGCATGTATTAACTAATTTTTACAATCAGCTCATATTTATTAAGTGCCTCATATGTACAGTCAATCAGGGCTCACCATTCTGAAACTTGGCAATCACACCATCATGCCCGTTTTATAACATGAGATAAGTTGAAGTGCTGGGGAAAGAGGACAGGACATAGGGCCACTAGAACCCCAGTCCTTTGCTTACACAGAGCGCCCTGTATCCACACCACACTCCTGCTTCTATGTCACAGGCTGATGAAAAAGGGTGGTGTGACAAAGACAGGACACTCAGATGCCCAACCCTTCTTTTCGGACTGTCCCAGGCCTCTGAAGCTCACCTTCTCTGGAATGTCTTCTCTGCTCCCTCCTTAGACTTTGTGTAAACCACAGAACTTGGAGATCTGGAGGTATGAGGGTCACAGTCTCCTCAAAGTAGGACAGAAGAGAGGCTGCACTGCTCTAGAAAGAATTCTGTGCTCTGGATTAGACCTGAACTCACCAGGTCTGTGTTTTACCAGTTCTCCCCTTCTAAGGCCACACAGGCTATGTCTACTCACACCAATACAGCATGCAGCTTCAAATGACATCACAGACAGGTGGGGACATGACTTGTACCTAGAATAACTCCCAGGCTCCCTGTCATAGCTTACAAGCTCTCCTACCGCCCTTTCATTTTATCTCACTTATCTCCAGCCACACCAGCTGACTATTCCTTCAACAGGGCGGGCTCCTCCTCTCCTCGGGGCCTTTGCAATGAGGTGATCTCCCTTCCAGGAATGTTCTTCCCCACGTCTTCCTCCCATAAGCTTGTTCTTTCTCATTTTTTCAGTTCTCAGCTCAAGCCTCCCCTCTCAGGAAGGCCTTTATGAACTACCCTGTCTAAAGCACATGCATCCCACACCCCTACATTAGTCTTTTTCACATTATCTTGTTATATTCTCTATCACACTTACCATTATCTGATTTTTTATCTACTTTTTGATTAGCTCTATGCAAGCAAGGACTTGAGCTCTTTTATTTACCTTTATAAACTTAGCACCTAAAAAAGTTTCCGGCACATAGTTAGTGCTCAGTAAGTGTTTGTTAAACAAATGAATGAAACAATATAAAAACTGGGATATCTAGCCCTACAGGATAGTATTGGGACTTTTTTCTCAGGGCCTGTACTTAGATTGCTTGAGTTCAAACCCCTGTACTGTTCCTCAGTAACTGTGAGTTCATGGAAAGGTACACAGTCTACATCTCAGTGTCCTCATTGTGGGTGATAATAAATCCCTTCCTTTTAGGCTTGCTTAATTGCAGACTAGTAGATTAAGTACTAAGTGCCCATTAGGCAGTTGATGCTCAATAAATGCTTTATAATTATCCCATTTTTTTCCCTAAATCATTTCTCCTACAGCATAAGCATCCCATGCCAGATTTTGCATTCTTCTTGGCAGCTTCCAGGGCCTTCTGTGAAGTCACAGCCCCATACTCTGTTTTCTTGTTGTGCAACAGGTTCACTCTGTATGCTGTGGATACACGGGGGAGGCACTCAGAGCTCAGCACGGTGACCCTGAGGACAGCCTGTCCATTGGTGGATGACAACAAGGCAGAAGGTAGGTGACCCATTTCTTGACTTCCCAGAGAACTACCACATTTCCCCTAAGTTCAGCATTCAACAGTCAGTCACTAACCACCAGACACACACACACACACACACGCACACACGCATGCACACACACTGGCACAGGGAGAGGAAAGTGAAGAAACTGAGGGAGCAGGAGGAACATGGAGGTAAATTAATCAAAGCGACAAAGGGGAAAAAATGAGATTGACTAGCTATATCTGTGCTTGCTCCTCTTTTATGGAATTTGTTCATATTCTGACTTACAGGCCAGGAACGGTAGACAGTCAGAACCCCATGGCTCTATCTTGTCCCTTAGCCTGGGCTTCTTAGGGACCGATCACATTCTTCCACTGAAGTCTATGCCAGGGCCAGCAAATAAGCACCATTTCACCTAGTTGTGCCCATGGCAGACATCATTAGCAGATCACAGCACACTGTCCCATCCAGACCAGAGGTGGCCCCAGAATCCTCAGCACAGAGCTACAGTCAGTGACTATCAGTCAGAGTTTTCATGGAAGATTAAACCTTTCTGCTGCTTCTGGCCCATGAAGTTGTAAACATCAGGCAAAAGCACCTGAAAAAATACAACCAATCAATCAGATACACCATATAGTTAGCTCTTGGAGAATGTGTAGATGTAGTTTCTATATCAAGACTGGAAAAATGTGATGGTAGGTCATGAGTCCTGTGGGCTACTTCAGGCTCAGTAAATATTTCCCAAAAGCCCTGGTACAACAATGCAGTTGTGACATGTCTGCACCATTTAGGAGTTCACAGTGTATGTGGAGAGACAGACATTCTCACAAATGGCTCAATTCTAAGCTCAATAATAAGTGTCTTATGTGCTACCAGACAAGAGGAGACAGAGAGCCATTGCACCTCAAAGGGGAAAGGATTTGAGATATTTTCCTGGTAATTTTGTTATTGTTATTTTAAAATAATGCATCCACATGATTAAAAAAATAAGAAAAATTAAAATCAGGGTCAAAAATAGTGTGAAGTAAATACTCCTCTTATCCTGACCCTAAATTCCCCAGATTCTCCTAGAAGTAACTTGTTAATAACAATTTGGGGACACATACAGATTTTGATCAGAGCCTTTAAAGTGGAAAGAATGTGCCTTCTACTCATGATGAATTTAAATTACATTTATTAGTAGGAGTGACTGAAGGAACAGGAATGGCCATAATTGATGAGCAGAAGAGTTTGGATTTTCTTTGAAAGGTTTTCGAACAGGGACCAATCAGAGCTTGTCACAGAAATGTGTTGGAAATAATACAGACAGGAGATAGAAGGGTATTGAGATGAGCCAAGACAGTTTATTTAAGCCTCTGCACTTGTTTGGAATTTTCTATTAAATCATGGATACAATAATTATATTAACAATTAAGCTTACAATTATGAGCTCTAACTTTGTGCCAGGCCTTGTACTGAGTGCTTTGCATACACTTTTTAATTTAGTTCTCTCAATGCACCTCCAGAGTAGACACTGTTATCTCCAGATAATAGATAAGAAATCTGAATACAATTAATCAATGACATCCTCAGGGTGAAATTAAGATTTTTCTGCTCCCAAAGACCATGCAAATCCCGTACAGCTGTGCTTTCCTTGCTGCAAGCCATGCTTCTGTCCTCACGCTCTCCCACTGCCCCGTGATCTGTTCCTGCACTTCTTCCCTCTCAGAGATAGCTGACAAGATCTACAACCTGTACAATGGGTACACAAGTGGAAAGGAGCAGCAGACTGCCTACAACACGCTGATGGAAGTCTCAGCTTCGATGCTGTTCCGAGTCCAGCACCACTACAACTCTCACTATGAGAAGTTCGGCGACTTCGTCTGGAGGAGTGAGGATGAGCTGGGGCCCAGGTAGGGGTGTACGACTGTGAGTGAAGGGGTGTGTTCTTCTTGCTTCTGGTTGACTTTACTGGACCTTTTTCCCCGTAGGCTGAGAATGAGCTTTATCAAGTAAACAAGTCACCTTAGTCGTGTCTGGTCTAAAGATGGGAAATGAGCAGAAAGAATGAAAGAATCTTGGAATTTTAGCTTCTCGCACTCCTGGAATGTCAGAGAGGGGAGGGACATCAGTGCTCTTTGCCCACCTCCCACCTCCAGTTTCCCAGATAGAAAACTTAGATTCCTTGAAGTGCTATGTCCTAACCAAGATCACAGAGGGGCATGGAAATAGGGCCATGGTCCCTAATCCAAGGCCTTTCTTACTCTTCCATAAGAAATCTGAGCTTTTTTTGTTTTGTTTTGTTTTTGTTTTTTTAAGAGTAAATAGCTATGACCTTGACTAAAGTCCATTAGTGTCTATGTCTAAATTAATTAATTAATTAAATATGTATTAAGGCATTATTTTTGTCCCTAGCAGTGACTGTGCCACGGAGGATTCAAACAGAACCAGAGCACAGTCACTGTCTTCAGAAGCTTCATAAAATAGTACATGCAAGGGTGGTTGCCGTTCATGTCTCGCATCCAACACCACCATGCGTTTATCCATTTGGCATGTACTTAACAGTGCCTCATATACGGTGGTTGCTGATGATGCAGTGATAAAAAGGCAGAAACAGTCGTTACCTACACATAGCTTCCTGTTGCAGGTAATTAAATAAGCAATTACAAAGAACAGGAATGATAAGTGTCTTGGTAGCAGAAGAGCAGAACCCTTTGGGAAGATGAGAGTGGGCACCTGGTTTGGGTAACCCAGTAAAGGCTGTCCAGGGATGGAGACTTTGAGACCTAATGACTGAGTTAGGTAAGTGAAAGGGGTGGAGGGTAGAGTATTTGAGGCAGAGCGACTAGACTAGGAAATGCTAAGGAGACAATATTACATTAGAGCAGGGGTTTTCTTCTCAAATTTTGATCATTTGCCTGGTATCTTTATGACTTTTCCCATCTCATCATGCCATATGCACTCGATTTATTTGATATTTCTTTCTTAGATTCATTTCTTATTAAAAATATATTTGAGGGCTGGCCCCATGGCTCACTCGGAGAGTGTGGCGCTGGTAGCACTGAGGCTGCGGGTTCAGATCCTATATAGGGATGGCTGGTGAGCTCACTGGCTGAGCGTGGTACGGACCATGCCGTGCCGAGGGTTGCCATCGCCTTACCAGCCAAAAAAAAAAAATATATATATATATATATTTTGAAAAGAGAACACTGTATCATCCTATAAAGGGAAAACTAGTACCATCTACCCTTAATAGAAAGTTAAACCTAACCACCATTCAATACAATGGAACAAGAACAGCAAAAACCAAATAGAACAATAAACGAAAGCAGAAAACAATGTGTTCAATCCTAGCAGAGCGTGAGGCTGTCCCTCTAAAAGGGAGACTAGCAAAAGGAGTGTTAAAGACACAGTCCTAAATCAAGATTTTCTTTTTAAAGTCGTCTGAAGGAGGGGAAGAGAATGAAAGAGGTAAGCTTGCCACTTTTCCAAATGCGGTTTGCTGCTGTTTCATACTGGACCTGTGATCACCTTGAGTACCACCTAAAACCCTTTCCCCTACCCCGGAGGAACGCCTTCTACACTTTGGTAAATACTGTGTTTGGAGGAACTGAAGGATTTCTATGTAGTTGGAGCAAATTGAATGACAGCTGGAGGGGTAAGAAATAAGAAGCGGGATGTGAGCAGGCGCCGGATCCTCAATGCCCTTTAAGTTGGGTTGAGGAGTTTAGATTATCTCCCTAGGGTAATAAGACGCTTTCAAGTGTTTTTCACAGGGGGGTGATATTTTCAGATTCTCAAGAAAGATCCCTCTGGCTGCAGTTTGAAGTGTGGTTAGAGGGGCCAAGGCAAGAAGGAGGCAGTGAGGCCCTACAGCCTGTTGTGATAATATTCCTTGGGAGACTGCAGTATTCAGGGTTAGGCTAGCACTGAGGTGTTGGAGAGAATTGCATGACTTCCTGAAATCATTAGTGGCACATCATGCTTTCAAAAGCTTCAAAATGGCTCTGTAGGGTATTCTTCCCATTTTTTGGATGATAAGGAAGTCGAGGCCCCATGGGGTTAAATGAACTGTCCAGAGTTGCACTGAGTATGACATGGAAGGCTGTCATCCCCAGCCCTTTCAACACTTGCAATGGCTTGCCAAGAATTTGAGGCCCTCCAGGGACAGGATGAGAGCTCAGTCAGGGGATAAAGGGGATTCTTCCAGGAGTTGGCCTTATCAGTTCTGTTGGGCCCAGGACTTTAACTTTCTCCCTTTCACATGAAAGGAAGGTTCTCTAGATAAAAGCAACAAGAGGGCAGACTGGCAGGCACAAGTACAGAGCCCCAGATGAAAGGCACTGGCTACGTGAGTCATCTCAGCTGCCACCTTGCCCATGGAAAAGAAAGGCTTTCCACTTCACTGGGCTTCCCCACAGGGCTCAGGGAGTTTGAGTGGAAGCTAAACCGGAGCTCCACTCCTGACTTTGTCTTTACAACTGGCTGGGATTCTTTCTGACCCTCCAGGACATAAATCTTCTGGAAAGACCTCCTGGCCACCCACAGAGGCANAGTCAGGGGATAAAGGGGATTCTTCCAGGAGTTGGCCTTATCAGTTCTGTTGGGCCCAGGACTTTAACTTTCTCCCTTTCACATGAAAGGAAGGTTCTCTAGATAAAAGCAACAAGAGGGCAGACTGGCAGGCACAAGTACAGAGCCCCAGATGAAAGGCACTGGCTACGTGAGTCATCTCAGCTGCCACCTTGCCCATGGAAAAGAAAGGCTTTCCACTTCACTGGGCTTCCCCACAGGGCTCAGGGAGTTTGAGTGGAAGCTAAACCGGAGCTCCACTCCTGACTTTGTCTTTACAACTGGCTGGGATTCTTTCTGACCCTCCAGGACATAAATCTTCTGGAAAGACCTCCTGGCCACCACAGAGGCAGGGCAACCCACTAGGTAATGGACTGCAATAACCCACTAACCTCCGTCAGCCAGTCACCAGCCACTGTCTGCCCACTTCCACCTGTGCCACCCAGCTTCCTCCTCCTCTAGTCTTTCTAGTCTCCTAGAGGGGATATCAGATTGCCCCAACATCCCACACTGGCATGTCAGCAAGAATAAAGGGTGCTGTGTCCTAATCCATCCTGGCTCTGCTCATACACTCACTGTGCAATTTTGGGTGCTGCTCCCTCTGGCTCTCAGTCTCCTCGTCTGTACAATGATCAGGATCAACTAGTATGGTGACATTCTTTTTTTGTTTTTAATCAGTGGAATTTGTTACAAAGAACCCCCGGTCTTAGCTAGAATGCCACTTCCTTAGAGAATTTTCTAAAATTTGCACCTATTCAACTCTCTTATACCCTCGTGTTTTAATTCTCTGCATTGCATTTACTAGTTTTAGTATCTTACTTGCTTACATGTTCATTTATGTATTATCTCTCTTCCCCACTACAGTGTAAGTTATGTATAGTTAGTGATCCTTTATGTCCTATTCACTTTTCTAAGTAGATGCTAGATAATTACTCGTGGAATAGGTGGATAATATGTGTGGTCCAGATGATTTCAGAGTTGATCTGGCAGAAGGTACATTGGCTGGCCTGGTGCCCCACCCGCTAGGCCTCCTCTTCTACGCCCCCCACCCCACCCAACCCCAAGGGTGCCTTAAGACTTTCTAAACTCTTAAGTATCTGTAGATCACAGTTGGAAATAACTGAATTCCATGAATTCTAAGACCCTCTAACATTCTAAAAAATGCAATGTCTTTGCAAATATGAAAAGACTTCAAGAGGCATCATTTCATTAATTAATTCATGATTTCTTGATAATGTACTATGTTCCAGGTCCTGTCCCGGGGGTTGGAAATAAAAGGGTGAAGAAGACAGATCCTGTCTTTACAAAGCTCAGCATCTAGTGAGGAAAAGACCGGGCTGCAGGCAGTTGCAGGAAAACACGTCACAAGACACATGCTAAGAAAATGAGGATGGACGGGTGTTTTAGAGCAGTGCTTCCCAAACCTAATGTGCATGAGAATCACTTGGGGACCTTGTGAAAATTCAAATTGATGCAGTGGTCTGGGCTGGGCCTGAGATTCTGCATTTCTGCCAAGCTGTCAGTTGATGCTAATATTGCTGGTCCAAAAAGCACACTTGGAGTGACAAGATTCCAAATGCAGAGAGCTAGAGCTAAGCCTGGAGCTAAAGGAAGAACCCTGGAGAAGGAAGAGAAGTTTATGTTTAAATTCAAAGAACGAGCATGAGTCCTCCAGGTGGAAGGGGGAGAGTGTTCTCATCAGAAGGATGTATGTCATCCAATGCAAAGATGGGTGGGGTGAGAGAATATACTTCAGTCAAAAAGTGTAAACCTCATTGGAACAGAGAGTTCAAGGTGAGAGGGAAAAGGAAAAAAGAATAACAAGGCCAGAGAATTTAGCTTCAGTCAAAAAGTGTAAGTCTCACTGGAACAGAGAGTTCAAGGTGAGAGGGAAAAGGAAAAAAGAATAACAAGGCCAGAGAATTTAGCAAGGGTCACATCATGATGGCTCTTGTGTTTTCAGGAGTTTGTCCTTTCTTCCAGAAGCCAAGTAAAGATTTTAAACAAAAGAGTGATTTTGACAAATTTGTGCCTCTCAAGGGTTAGCAACTGTGCAGAACATTTAAGTGTAAAGGAAAGAGAGCAAAACACTTCTCTGGAGCTAGAAACCCAGTGTTCATGTCCTGATTTTGCCACTTAATTTCTGCGTGACCTTGGATAAATTCCATCCCCATTCCAGACCTCATTTGTAACATAAAAAGGCTGAACTACAAAGTTTCTTCTAGCTGAGAAGCCAAGGAACCAAAAAGCCTTGAAGGCTGTAGAGACCAGAGAACAAGTGCACCATAAATGTCACTGTACCTCAGTCCAGGGACCCAGATTATCTTGGGGTTATGAGAGTTTTTCCCAGGAGTATGCTGAGGGCTGCTATCACAAGATAAGCTCTGTTAGGATTTTCTTGGCCTTTATAATTACCAAGCCCCAAAAATGTTTTTACTTCCTCCCTGGATCCGTGGTCACATATCCCCATAAAATTTAGTGGCAAAAGGGCATTTCTTACCTCTTACCTCTGCCTAATAAATCGATGTCGCCAAGAACCTGGTTCTTATGACAGCTGCAGGTTACTGCAAATAGCTGCTCAAAGAAGACCCACTGACACCCAGCTGTCCCAGCCATAAGGTTCCTATTAGGACACTTTAAAAACTGAGCTCATAGGTGGCTAGAGATCAGATTTGCTCCAGTGAAAATATCCTTAACCACCCTTCACTTCTCTAAACTTTCAGTTAGTTATGTTTGATCAAATTGATAGACGAGAGAGGAGAGTGCAAGCGTTTGAAGAGATTTTGTTTCAGTGAAATTGATCTGTCTGGACTAGGAGCGGTATATTTATGGTGTCAGCCCTCCTTGCTTCCATAGCAGACATTGCTAATAGATCACAGAAAGCATCACAGATTTGGCTCAGCCTGGGATCTTTCTCAACATAGCAAAACATCTGAAAAGAGTTGGCAGATCCATTTCTGTGCCCTCAGTGAAAACAAGGAAATCTTGGATGTCACTGTACATTCTTCCAAGATTGTAATAGATCCTTCCTTAAATATTTTTCAATTAACTTTTTTGGAAGTTTAATCTTATCTTTTTTAAGATATTGGGAACAAGAACAGATTTAGGCCGCTAGGGCCATATTCCTATAATCTTGGATGCATTTTAAATTTTTTTGTGCAGATTTTGACATTTCTAAAATCTCGATGGATCGTGCACAATGCATGTGTCCATTAAGTATTGTAATTTTTCTTCTTTCTTGAAAGGGTGTTATTAAAGAATGGCATCTCTTATCATCGAAGATAGCTTAGAATGGAGAAATACTAATAAAATGCACGATGGCTTTAAACAAGAATCCCATGGGTCTGTTTCTCCACTGGTAGTATAGCAAGGTCGGTTATCATCTTGATGTTCCCATCAGCTCCAGCTGAAATGGTTTTGGGACACATGAGACTCCATCACTTTTACGATCATCAAGGAATAAATTCTTGAAAAGGTCTCATGGTTTCTTATGGAGGAACAAGGAGGAGAGGAAACCAAACACAAACATTTTTACTAGCCACCTGACAAATTACATTTCAAACCTGGTGTTGACGGTATTGTATTTGGTGGCAGTATCTGAGCATCTGGCTTTCTGTTTGGTGGATGTGATCTCATGCTAAGTTTGATGTAGATTTATTCTAAATGTAACCCTGGTGAACTACTGAGAAGCCATAAGACCATTGCTTCATTGTACAAATTCATCACACCAACATTAAAACATGTGTATATATATTTATGTTTTCAAAATGGAAATATCTTTATTGTATTTTATTCCAAAATAATTCTTGCTCATTCTATAACATCCAAATGATACAGAAGTATGTAAATAGAAAGTAAAAATGTTGCACCTCCGAACCCCCTAATCCCAGACCTACCCCAGAGATAAAATTGCTAACAGCGTGCATATACCTTTCCATATATAGATATGGATATGGGCAAGGAAATGCATGGGAAGAGCGAAACACATACGAATTTATGGATAAGTCTGTGTCTACAACCACATCTCCACATCTATCATCTCTACACTGGTTAACAAATATATATATATATGTGTACATATATATATATATATATATGTCTGTGTGTGTATATATATATACACACTATGTTCTGTTATCTGCCTATTTTCGCTTAATATACTGCACGAGTCTTTTCCCATGGATGCATATGTAAATGTGTTGTCTTTATGAAGGGTCTTTTAGCTATGCCAATATATGAATATATCACACGTTAGTCTAGTTCTCTATTAAAGACCAACTAAATTTCTTCTTTTTCTTCTTCTTCTTCTTTTTTTTACTATCATAACAATTCTGCATAAACATTTTAGGCCACTTGCCTGATTATTTCCTTCATTCCACAGGATGCTCCTGTGCCATTT